TTTGTTAGTCTTAGCCAATCGGTTAACCACCTGCAGATTTTTGTCGGGCATAAAATTATCTCGTCAGTCCGGATTGCGGCCCAGGATGGTGGACGAAGTGGAATTGATAAATGGCATGCGAAAAAACTTCAGAGACAATCAAGATCGAAAGTTTAAAAATTCACGACAAGAAAGGATGGAATAATTGGTCAATGGCCAAGATGTGTTCCTTTTTCAGCCAACAGGGTTGAATCTTTTGCTTCCGGAACGTCAACAAAGACTAAACATTGGACTCAAGAGACCTAACAGTCAGTCAAATAGATGTATTATCTTCTTTAAGAATAGCGACACCAGTCTCTGGCGAAGCCGGGCAAAATTTTTTTTTTTTTCAAACGAGCTAAATCGCGGGTAAAGCAAACCGAACTAGCAAAACATACATGACAAGTTTCAGGGTATCAACTTAACAGCGGAAACCTAGCAGACCAACATGTCACCTTTGACATGGATGACCAGTTTGCTAAACCGCAGTCGAACGGCGCTGCTCTTCTCAAAAAAACGAACTCTTCCTTAGAACACAGTATCCATGTATATAGCGCTCTTCCGCAGCAATAAAGTGAAACAAAATAGGTTGGAAAAACAAAATTTCAAAAAACAGAACGGCAAACGTACAAATGTTACGAGCCGCAGGTCCCGCCGTAGGTATCATGTCGAACTGGACTTGAAAGTCGTTTCTCAGAAAGTACCGAACAGATTGATGCGAAAAGTATCTCTTTCGAAGGTTATTTCAAAGCCCAAGACAGCTAAAATATTTGTTTCGCGTTTGTTAGAACTTTTTATCCGAAAAAACTGGTGCAAATGAATTGCTGACAAGAATTGCTTTCCGAATAAACACGTTCGAAAGTTGTTTCTCGATAAGTACTGAGCGAATTAAATTGAAAAACATCTCTTCTGAAAGGTTTTTCAAAGCGCAGGACAGCTAAAATACTTGTTTTCAGTTTGTTAGAGCTTTCACTCCGAAAATCCCGATGCCACTTTTTGCATATTTAATTTCGAAAGTGCTGTGTAATATTTTACCAGAGTTTGGATGTCCACAGTGAAAAAAACAGTTTCTCTGGAACTACCACATTGTTTGGATCGAGAGAGGCCTCCTTGAAAAGCATTTTCAAACTACTGGGCAGGAAAATTATCTTCAAAAATTATTGATCTTGTCATTTCTCTGCATGACTGATTCACATTAGGCGCCATACTTGCTGACAAGAATTCCATTCTAACCCGCGCTGAAGTCGTTTCTAAAGTACTGAACGGCCTAAAGCGAATAAGATCTTTGAAAAGCTCTAGTTTAAATTTTAGAAAATTTTCACTGGGAGATGGAAAATCATTTCCCTATATATTGACGGCACCTTAGTAGAAATATTTTACGAAATTTCCGAAAAAAATGGACAAATTTTCAAAGATTTCTTCTCGATTTGGCTTTCAGAATCTCCGGAGACTTTTACGTTGAACGATTTGCATTTCGGAGTTCAACCAGTATTGAATATTCTGAACACCATCAAAGAAAAAACCAAACCGTTCGTTCCCCGTTTTTCCAAATGGAACGTGTTCCTGTTATACCATACCTTCACTACTGCATGCTCTTTCATAACGATAGGAGACCAAATTGCGCAGAAGTAGCTCTGCATTTGGTTAATTATGCTCCATTGTTCCCATATTTTTTAGCCGAAGAATGTTATTCAGAGAACACGCCATGTTGGCTGAAATCGTTGGCTTTCTATTGTGCCCGTTTTGACAACTTACTTGCACAAGCGTTCACAGTTTCCATGTGAATCAACATTAACGCCACCCACAGCAAAGAAATCCGGAAGATGGAACTCATGACAGCAGCAAATTATTGTAGTGCCTGTTTATTAAGACAAATCAACAGCATTAACTTTTGCAATGTCTCGAGACCCCTGTTCGTTCAAAGTAACAAGAAAATATACATTAACAGTCTTACCAACATGATCAACTTAACAGTAAGAGATAAAGATTAGTTCCTGACAGGAAAACGAGCTTCAAATGCTGCCGGCTACTGATACACTGTACTTTTACTTTCTAAACATAGAAGCCGGGACTTTCCCTTTTCGAACACGTGATGTATATGTTAATTCGGAAAGTGGCGTCTATGAATTCCGGAGACGGTTTTCAAATGTTGTGACGATAAGCTTTTCTCCTGAGAATGTATCTTTTCGTTTGGACGGACACTTGAGCTGAACTGAACGATGATCGCTCTGAAAAATTCAGGAATCTAACTCTGGAGAGCACTAAATGACCTGCGGGAACGGAAACTCGTCACAATTACCCCTTTGCTTTCATTTTCGATTTTGAAACTTCCTGGCTCCTCCTATACCCTGTCTCCAAGCAACAACAGAGTTAAACAAAAACAAAAACAAAAAAAAGCGGAAACTAGAGCGAAACAATAGACTATACTAAATGCTTCTTTGATACAGTATAAAAATAGCCTATTGCTATTGATTTATGGATATTTATTCACGGAAAGTCCATTTGTTGAATGGGCTCATTGTTCCATTCCTCTTGCATGCTTGAAGAACGTCTGTTCTCTAATTACTCTGCAGTGAAGCGAGAACAAATCATTTTCACGCTAGATATAATGAACGCAGACAAGAATCAGGAATATATATATGCGTCTCGTTTATTGATAGCTGGACTAACAACCCTGTCAATAAGATAAAGAAAGAGAACAGACAAAATGAAAAACTAAAGAAACTAAATTTCCAAACTTTTGGAAACAGAAAGGAGTGTTTCTAAATTGTCCTTAACGTAACCATCTTTGGCTTTGACTGATCGCCATCGGCCATGGCGCTTAAATAAACTATCGTTAACACCTACATTTGCAGCGGCGGTAACACCCCCTGATCTAAGGCTGTAGAAACCAAATAATTTAGTACAAAAACCTAGTTGCGAAAATACATCTAAAACTACTTCCCGAGTACGGGTAAAGGAGATACCTGTAACATAACAACATTCCCATTTCTATAAATAGCCGTCTTACTCTTAGCTATGAATGACTCAACATATTTATCCATAGTTAGTCCCCTCCACTAACTATGATTTATCTTCACAAAACTTAACGTCACAACAGCGTAAATAAGCCAGTTCATTAAAGCGTAAAAACCCGGCGAAAGCTGTAACACAAATAGCAGCAGTGCGTAAACTAGACAGGTTAGCATTCTCTGATGCAAATTTTTGGACATATACCAAAAATCATACCGGGAGTCACGGGCTCCTTTTTAACTACTGGTGTAGAAAAGTTTCTATGGGCCGATTCTAGGATACCTTTCACAAGACTAGAATCACAAGGATTGGATAATCCGTAAAGATCATGCGCCCAGCGGATACCGTAAACAGCGCCTTCTAAAGCCGAGTATAATGAATTACTTTGAAGTAAAAACTCTAAATAAGTAGCAACAGACAAATAATTAGACGGAAGAACATTAATTTCCTTAAAACTAGCAGCCCAAACCCTAAACTTTTCAAAACCCCTAGAATAACGCTCAGAAGTGGAATCCGCTTTTGCTCCTAACCAACCTAAAGGTAAACAACTTGCTAAGCGGCTAAGCTCAGGATCCGTAAAACGACCCCCAAAGGTTGACAGGGCTAAGGCACCTTGTAATAATGAAACAAACAAAAGGAAAAATAAGTACAAAACCAATAGGTGCAAAGCAATAAGTTACAAAACACACAAAAGGTCCCAGTGGAAATGAGAAGAAGAAGCCAAGCTTCATCTTTGCGTTGTTCTCGGACCTACAGGGGAACGGCAATTCGGATGAACGTGGTGGTGCTGCTCCGCGCTGTGGACACGAGCACGTAGCGTCGGGGGAAATGGTGTTGATTTCGGGCCGCTTGAAGGCGCGGGAAGCGTGTGGCTGTTCGTCAAAGGTCTCTCTTTCAGGTGGGGTGCCAGTGGGGTCGCCAAGGGATGGGAAAGTGCGCGGCAGAAGTCCAAGGTTGAGTAGCGAGTCGTAAGACAGGTACATATCCTTGACAGAGCTGCTCACATAAACCATGGAGTGGCATGACGTAATCTCGCCGCTGCCGGACTGTGTGGTGAGCTTGGCAAAGAACGCTCCCTCTATCGATATGGGCGAGTGGTTGGCTGCTGATAGGCTGACGCTTATGGGATGGAGTTCGTCGCGAGAGAAACCGCAGGCTATGAAGTCGCACAGTGACCACAAGTCCGATTGCGCGCCACTGCCGGTCCTGCCTGGCTGGGAGAGGGATATAGTGACTGAGACCCTAGGGTGATCTCGTAAGCGAGCCCATTTCCACTCCTCCTTGGAGAAGATGTGGTGATCCAAACGCACATCAATGCTGATGGTTTCGTGACGGTGATGTGTGTGGTCGTGTTCCGGTTTTGGCGACGTCTTCGGGGGGGGGCTCAGGGGTGTTGGGCACTCTTGGTCTGAAATGCTGCTATTTGTGAGATCGGCTCTGTTTCTGTGGCATGGACCTCTGGGGTCTGGGGCGGGCGCTGTGGAGGCAAGCGCTGCTGACGCTTCTTCCGGCGATTGGCCCTGTAGCATTCGATGCACATTTCATGAGGTTTCTCGTTTTAGCCTCGGGCCCCTTCCGTGAAGACCTTAAAAATGGCGGACTGTTAGGATCGAGAAACGCCGGTCAACGTCCCATTTGACAAATCGCTCATATTTTGCCCAAAGATACCCTTAGGTGACCTAATTCTAAAAATCATA